GGGTGTGTAGAGACCATCCTGGAGCCTGAGGCTGTGGGCTTCCCTGGGTCTTCAAGAACCATGTTGCATCTCGGAGCTGTGCCTTTCTGTGAATTTTAACTCTGTTAAATGCATCGTTGGTCTTTTTATTTGGTTTATCTGGATAAAGGTGTTGAGAGATGAGGTCTGTGATGAGAGGTCACATGGACCTCCATTTCCATTTTGTCAGAATCTTGACTGGAGAGGGAGCCAGCCTTGTAGTTGATCTTGTCCTGCCTTGCCACATTCTCTTCCGTTGTCCCTCTTAGAAGAATAATTCTTATTTGTGAGACTGTTGTTCTTAAGCAACCTTATGTATTAGGTAGCACTTAATAGGGTTAGGTTCTCTTGTTAGACCTATTTAATAATGCTGCTAAGTGTTTGGATGACATTTAAATTCATCCACATCTAGTTGACTTGAAAACCCTTTTGGCTAGCATTACTTAGCTAGATCACACAATCGTAAATGTAAATGAATGGCATGCTTTAGCCGTAAAATTAACACTCTTTTGTGGTATTATCTGGGCTTTATTCAAATTTGTTAAAGTCTACTCTTTTCTTGAAAGAAAGTTCTAAACTAGCAACTTAGGGATGCAGAAGTGAAATATTGGTGAGAAACAGGAAGAAAGTTTTTGAATCAGAAAAGAAAGGATAGTTATAGATCCTTTAGAGTGCTAGTTTTAGGATAGGTTAATTGGTTTAACTTGTAGCAGGCAGTTTACAAAGGCTCTTTTGTGATGACTAGCTCCCTTGATGCTGTTTCTTGGCAGATGGCTACAACAGTTCCTGAGCCTGCAAAGTTCCAGGAAAGGTGGAGAATGGAGTTTCAGTCCCTCATATGGCCTGACTGCCAAGTCTTAATAGAGCCTGTTCTGTGGACAAGCTACAACTGTTTGGGGTCGTGAAATTACATAGCTCTAAGGCCAAGAATTGGGCCCCTAGAATGAGAATTAATTTTGTAATCCCCACTAAGCATTTTTCCAGTTGACTTTACCAGCTTAGTATCAGTAGTCTTTCCTCACCAGAGATGTTTGATTGGAGTTTTAAGCAGTAAATGTTGCATTTTGACTTCTTTTGATAATCATATCAGGAAGGAATTTGTTAGAGCATTATGATAATATAACAAACAAAAAGAAAGGGGCTCCATGGAAAGTGCTGCATTAGACAAAATCATTTATTTATTTTATATAAAGTAGGATTTATTAGAGAGAAAGGAAAGGCTACAGCTAGAAGAAAGTAGCAGAGCCCAGAAGCCAGTATCTCCAAACGAAATCACTTTTTTAAAAAATTTTATTATTCATATGTGCATACAAGGCTTGGGTCATTTTTCCCCCCTGCCCCTACCCCCTCCCTTACCACCCACTCTGCCGAAATCACTTATTAAAACATTTTTGAGTGTCTATTTTTGTGCCAGTCACTGTGTTTATTAGGTTTTGGTTTCATGGAGATTAATAAAATAAATCCTTAAACAAAAGAAAAAAAACAAGAAAAAAAAAAAGAATAAAATAGATCCTTGCCTTCAGGGAACTTAGAGTTGAATGGGTTTATTTACTGTTAGGATTTTTTCAGTGTCGTTGTTGTTTTCAGGGCTAGGAACAGAAACTAGGACCTTACACATGGTAGGCAAGAGCTCTGCCACTGAGTTACATCCCCAACTCCTCTTATAACCTTTAAATATGCCTTTGTGCACTGTGACTTGGCAAGAAAGGGACGCAGGATCAGGGTTTCTTAGAACTTAAGTTGACTGCTTCACTGTGAAGCCTTATGTTACGATACTAGTGTTCCTTAGAACAGATTTTGAGAGATATTTTATGGCCTGGGAATGTAATTTTTTCTGCATTCAACTTGATCACCATAGTCTCTACTGACAAATGAATGGCTTGAGTCAGTAAGTTGTGTGTGTGTCTGTGTCTATGTGTGATGGGGGTGGTTTGGTAAATGAGAAAACTGGTGGCTCTTACTAAATAAAATTAGTAACTGATGCTTGGCACCAGTGGCTCACGCCTGTAACCCTAGCTGCTCAGGAGGCAGAGATCAGAAGAATATGGTTTGAAGCCAGGACCAGGCAAATAGTGAGACACTATCTCGAAAATATCCAACATAAAACAGAGCAGGTGGAGTGGCTTAAGTGTAGAGCTCCTTCCTACCAAGCATGAGGCCCTGAGTTCGAACTCCTGTACTGCCAAAAAATTAGTAATTGATTTGTGTGGGACAGAAGAAATAAAAAAATCTCATGACTCTGAATTTAACATGAAATATGTGAGTAAAATGTTTCAGACCATTCAACAAGTTGGGCAAGCAAAAGAGGGAAGTACACTTAGGAGCTAGACATCTTGAGTCAGGTGGCCTGACTTATTTGGAGCTCTGTCAGATCATATCAACCCTCCATGAGCGTGTTAGTTTGCACAAATGAGGTTAAAAAGACTCTACCTCACCAAGTTCTCAGAAGTCTGAAATGAAATACATGAGTACATCAAGAGGTTTGTGTTTTGTCACCTGAGGACTGGCAAAGGTAGATGCTAGCTAAAGGTTAATAAAGTTACGGGTTGCAGAAGGAAGCCATGTAAAAAACTTCCTTATGTTTTGGTCAGGGGTAGACTTAAATGTGGAACAGCAGTTATGCTGTGAACATTGGTAGGAAGATGGGACTATTGTGGTTGTGCATCTGCCTGCCTTGGGGTGTTCCTAGTCAAACTAGAGTAATCTCTGGGAGACAGTAATTTTTGCTTGGCTTAGTACAGAGCAAGGGCCTTTTTCAAATGCCATTTCTGGTGGAAAAATGTGTCCCTTGCACCTTTTCCAAAGCTGGGTTGATAACTGGAGCAAAATAAAATTCTTTAATTTGGAATTAAACATAAGCACAAGTAAATAGGTCAAAGCTATTGCTTTATGTATCTCACACAGTTTTTAAGTATCAGACTTGTGAAAATGATTATATTAGGAGAACTTTTGGTTCACTGTCACACTGCCTGCCATATTGCTTTTAAAGTACCAGATTGCACACTAACTTGATGTAACCCTGTACTACCTAGTGACATTTTGCTCAATTACGAGACCCATACACCACATACAACAGTATATACCTCCTTTCTTAGGTTTGTATACTCATTATGTTCAAACAACGGTAAAATCACCTAATTACACATTTTGCAGACATTTTTCCCTGTTGTTAAATGACACATGGCTATATTGTAACTCCAAAAAATGCTCCAAAAAAGCTTGGCTTGACTATTGCTCAGAAATCTTGAGTTGGAGGCCAGCCTGGGCAAAAGTTGGTGTGAGACCATGTCTCAAAAACAAAATTAAAGAATCCTCAGAAGGGATGGAAGGTGTAGCTCAAGTGGTAGAGCAAGTGTGAGGCCCTGAGTTTACTGGGGGAGAAATAATTCTGTTCTTTGAACTTTTTATTAGTATTTGTGTGTGTATGTGTGATTCTTGGGATGGAACCCTGAGGTTTACACATGGCTAGGCAAGGGCTCTACGACTCAGCTATACCCCCAACCTCACTTTTATTTTAAAGTCATATTTATTGTGGTATAATTTTCACAAAATAAAATTTATTCTTCTTATAGTGTATCCTTGTATGAGTATTGGGTTTTGTTTTGTTTTGTTTTCCAGTACTGGGAGTTGAACTCGGTATCTCATATTTGCTAGGCAGGTATTCTACCACTTCAGCCATGCCTCCAGCCCAAGTTTTGTTTTTGGTTTTGGTTTTTTTTGCACTATTTGGGTATCATTCATGTAACTACCTTCACAATCAAGATACAGAATAGTTTAATTAGCCTCCCCACCCTTACTCATTTATAGTCATCCCCTTCCTCCACTCCCAACCCCTGGCAGCCACTGTGTCTATTTTTGCCTTTTCCACAATTTCGTATAAATGGACTAATCCTCCTGATTGATTCTTAAAGCTCGGAAGGAAACTTGGTAAAATTCAAACCTTTTTCCAAAACAAACAAATGTCATCACTTTTTTACTGGTGGTTCTAGAGAAGTTAAGTTTTTAGGAGGAAAATAATGATCATTTTGCCTGGCTAATGCCACCGTTTTCCCCAGCTACCTTGTGGAGTCCATCTATGATGGTCATTCTCCAAGGGCATTTTAGATTTATAGGGTCATCCTATATTGGTCTTATCAACAGTTCTAGAAGCTCAGAATTAATATTTTCTGAACTTTATCATTAGTAAGAAAAATATCCCCTTAAAAAGTGAAGTAAATTCAAATTATTTCCAGAAAAATATTTGTTAAAATAGGCATTAAGTTTTATTGATAGTCTTTTGAGAACTGTCTTTTCTTAAAAGGGTCAGGGGGGAGGTAGGAAGAAAACCACCACTGCCTTGCAAAACTAGGGCACTATGGTAGAAGTGTTCATAACTTTCTCTTGGGGATGTTTCAGATACATCAACATCAAAAGGAAGACTTTTAAAAATAAGTGTAATGAAGGAGAGGATTAGAAGGGGTGAATTTGATCAAGGTGTATTATATGCATGTGTGGAAGTATCACAGTGAAACTCCTTTCTACAACTAATACATGCTAATAAAAATGACAGTGTAGAATGTAGGATCCCTATGTGACAATCTATAACTAATGTTTAATAGTTCTCAATCCCATGTGAAGATACCAAAAAAAGTATCATATACCAACTTTTAAAAACAAAAGAAAATCCCAAGTAATATAAACATGCTATTAATCTCTGAATTTTTTTCTTTTTTGGTGGTACTGGGGTTTGAACTCAGCCTCAGGCATGCTAGGCAGGTGCTACAACTTGAGCCACTTCACCAGCCCAATCTCTGTATGTTTTATGAATTAAAAGATTTACATATTGCTACTTTATAGACTTTGTTTATTATCTTTGACATGCCAATAATGTGTTCAGATGAAATGAAATGTCTCAAATTATAAATAAAGGATCTTTTTAGTTTGTCCTGATTGGCTTATTGAAACTTACGGAGCTTAACACACTGGGGGCCTTCTTTTTTAAGGCTATGAAAATGACTCTGTAGAAGACCTGAAGGAGATGACTTCAATATCCTCTCGGAAGAGAGGTAAAAGAAGGTACTTCTGGGAATATAGTGAACAACTTACACCATCCCAGCAAGAGAGGATTCTGAGGCCATCTGAATGGAACCGAGATACCTTGCCAAGTAATATGTATCAAAAAAATGGCTTACACCATGGTAAGAAGGCATTGAAGTCAAATATTTAGTGTCAGTTTATTTATTTTGGCTTTTTGAGATACGGTCTTGCTCTGAAGCTCAGACTCACTATATAGCCCAGGCTGGCCTCAAATTCACAGTTGTCCTCCTCCTGCCCTTTGAATGCTGAGATTACAGCTATGTGCCACCATACCTGACTAGTATTACCTAAAATAGACATGCTTAACCATAATTGTTCCTTAGTGTACTTGAGTATTCAGCCCTTCCTAACCAATTGCAGAGGGGAATATGTTACCCTGTTCTTTGCTCACCGATACCTCTACCAGTGTTGAGATCTATCACCTAAGCAGAAGGAAGGGTGGTATAAATACTACTTCATTTCTAGACCCTGTTATTCCTCTTACCCTATCCAGGCATTGGCCAGGAGGCTTCTGACCTGTCACAGTTGCTATAACTAGAAAGGGGGAGAAAGTAGATGGGCTTCAGCATCTCTCGCCCATTCTTGTCCAATCTCCAGACATAAATGTAAATGGGAAGATTGAAGTTTAAAGGTGGTAAGAGAAAAGGAAAGGAAAAGAAAAGCAGCACAGTTGTAGAAGGAGTGGAAAGGAGTTACATATTCAGAATCACAAGAACCTTATAATCTCAGGTCACATTTTGAATTATGAACCCAGAAAGATGTGGTTAAGTAGAAATTCCTCTGCATAAATGTTATTTTCACATTAATTCAAAGTCTTTACCAAAAAAGGAAGATAGGGGAAACACTAGTAAGGTTGGTGCTCAGTAAATGGTTTAGTATTCACTTACGCTACAGATTTAAGTTGGTAGGCATTTTTAAAGACAGGAATTGTATCTAAGTGCTTATTTGTGCTTCATTTTCCCTATCCATTGGTACCCAGGGCTGCACTGTATTATTTCAGTGAATAATTATAAAAATTATACATTTAGATTGATTATTTTTTTTACCAGAAATGCAAAGGTAAGTACAGTAAATAACTTCTGGTACCTTGTGATGAGTTCTGTGAAAGTCATTTGGTATACTGTAGGAGTTGAGAGGACAGAGCCATCCCTTTTGCCTAGAGTGATAGGGTAGGGTCTTCTATAAACTTATTTATCAAAACAGCTGGAGACCTTTCAAGCAAGGTGATAGTTACTTGAATTTTTTAGTTCAACACAGAAATGGATATGTCTGACAAATTGTTCAGTCCTATCTTGGTTTTATGATTCTTCTGACTATGTATTATACCCATGGTATTTTTTGTTGTTGGAACTGGAATTTGAACTCAGGGCTTCAGGCTTGCAAAGCAGGCACTCTACAAGTCCATTTTGTTCTGGTTATTTTGGAGATGGGTTCTCGCATACTATTTGCTCAATCCTCCAGATCTCAGTCTCCCAAGTAGCAAGGATTACAGAGTGAGACACTGGCACCTGGCTCTCTATGATTTTTGTGCACAATTGAGCTTGCGCTCCAATACTGAGATTTGAGTTCTTGGTACTGCCATGCAAAGAATTAAGAATCTGTTACACTGGAGCTAGAAACCTAGAGGTAGAGCAGGACTTGGAAAAGGCTGGAACTGTACCTTGTTGACCCCAATTTTTTTTTTTTTTTGGCGCTCAAACCAAGGGCCTTGGGTTTGCTGAGCTACACTAGTCTACTCTGATTTTTTTCAACCACAGACCAGAAGGGTGTGTGCTGTTAAACATGCTGAGACTTCTGAAATAGTCAAGACCTCCAAAGTGAAAGTTGGTGGTGGCTGTAGAAAATGTATCCCTTGTTTACTAAAATGAGTTACCTAAAGTTCTTTTAAACTGTGTTTAGGAAAATATGCAGTAAAGAAGTCACGGAGAACTGATGTAGAAGACCTGACTCCAAATCCTAAAAAACTACTCCAGATTGGCAATGAGCTACGGAAGTTGAACAAGGTGATTAGTGACCTGACTCCAGTCAGTGAGCTTCCCTTAACAGCCCGGCCAAGGTCAAGGAAGGAGAAAAATAAGCTGGCCTCAAGGTAAATGTTAATAACATTCACTCATGTGAATCATTTAGGAGGTAGAGTTAGACCTTGAGTTTTTATGGAAGAGGTGACTTTCAGTCATTATTCAAAAATAATATTTTTCTGTCATAAATCCTATAATGAGAGTATTATTTTTCCTTTGAAAATAAAATGGTATTTATGCTTTCTGGAAAAAGTTTCTTTCTTTCTTTCTTTTTTTTGAGACAGGGTCTCACTATGTAGCCCACGCTAGCCTCAAGTTCTCTTGATCCTCCTACCTCCTGAGTGCTGGGATTATAGGCACATGCTACCCTGTCTGGCTTGGAAAAAGCTTTTAAGGGGGAGAAGTGAATGAAGTTAAGAACATTATTAAGTACATGTTTTTGTTTGCTTTCTTAGCCAGGTTTATTGAAGTGTAACTTACTTAGAGTAAATTTAATGTATGCTATAACAGGTTTTGACAAACATATCCAACCATGTAACCACCATCACAATCCAGATAGTGAACTTTTTCATTACCTTAAAAAGTCACAAAAGCACATTTCTTTTCCTGTCACTGGTCTTTTACAACCTGTCCTTATAGTTTTACCTATTCTACAATGAGATATAACTAGAGTACTCCTTTCACTTTACATGATACATTTGCCATGAATCTGTTATTGCAGTTTGTTTTTTTTAAATTATTAAGTAGCAGTCCATATTAGAGATATACTATAATTTATCTGTTTACCAGTTGAAAGACCTTTGTGTTACTTTCAATTTTTAGCAAGTATCAGTAAAGCCACCATAAACACTGACTTTACAGGTGTGTGAGTATAAGTTTTTATTCCTTTTGGATAAATGCCAAGATCATATGTTTAACTTTATAAGAAACTGCCAAGCTGTCTTCGAAAACACAGGTAAGAGGGTTATTTGCTTCCCATCCTCTGCAACACTTGGTATTATCTGCTGTAGTTTGGTTGGTTTTGGTTTTTTGGCCACTCCAATAGGAGTGTACTGGTCATTGACTTATTTCTGAATGTGTATTTGATTTTTAAAAATCTGTTTGAATAAATGATGATGAGGTATGTTTTGTAACTCAGTTCCATACAAATATCAGTAGATAGTGATTTGAAGTTACTATAGAAAATGTCTGCTGCAGCAAAAAGAAGTATATTCTGAATATTCTCTTAAAAAGAAAAGTGAACTAATAGCTCTTTCCTTTCACAGAGCTTGTCGGTTAAAGAAAAAAGCCCAGTATGAAGCTAATAAAGTGAAATTATGGGGTCTCAACACTGAATATGGTAAACCTAAACATTGAAGAATGTGACTAACTTTGTGTTAACTGTGCGCACCCCCTTTTTTATTTAGCTTTACCATTTGCTTTCCATGTGTTCCACCCAGTTTTTAGGTAGCCTCCTTTATAGTCATCTTACTCAGTAAGCCACATGCCCACTCTCACTCGTTCTTGTGAGTGTCTGTATCTGTAACCCCCTAAGACAAATCTCATCACTCTGCTTAGGAGCTGATCCACTTGGGACTATGGTCATTTCTTCTCTTTTATAATTTTTTTTTTGCTCTTTTTGCAGTATCATACATGATCATCAAACTGCTGCTAGAGTGCCCACACCTATTACTGCAAATCCAAATCCCAGGGGGACCTCCCTGGGAATTTACTTAGGTGTAGGTTGGGCCGCTGGTACAAGGCTGCACCCACCTGATAGGTCCCTTCTGTAATTATGTGCTGGATTGCCTAGTTTTGTTGACATATTTCCATTGACTTGAATGATATTTTAACCTTTGTGTGGATAGTTTAGATCTGTGTTTTCAAATGGGATTGCTCATTGGAATGCCTTTGTACTTGTTAACATACAGATTTCCTAGGCTTCTCCCCAGATCTTCTGAATTGGAATAGAATCCAGGAATCCATATTTTTGACATTCCCATTTTTTTTTTCTTGTGGGTCTGCAGATCCAATCCAGGCAAGTGTTTTACCACCGAGCAGTGTCCCAAGCTCTTCCATTTTTTAATTGAATATTGTTATTATTGTATAATTAAAAGCAAATTCTTCTATGTTAGTGACATGTTCCAAGCATTTCATTCTGTCTTACAGATAATTTATTGTTTGTAATCAACTCCATCAAGCAAGAGATTGTAAATCGGGTGCAGAATCCAAGAGAAGAAAGAGGACCCAACATGGGGCAGAAGCTTGAAATTCTCATTAAAGATACTATTGGTAAGAAAGATATTGGGTAAATTCATAGCAAATAATAACATAGTGTAAGATATGTTATTCAAGGGGAGATTACAAATTCATTGTAATTTCTCTCTCTCTCTTTCTCTGTCTCACATATACACACACACAGAGGGGATGAAATCCAGTACCTTCCCTATGCTAGGCAAATGCTTTACCACTGAGGTATACCTCATCCTGTAGTTACCTCTTTTATGAGTACTTTTGAGATTTAGTATTCAGAAGCATGTACTTGTACTGCTGGTTCCACAATTTGTAATTTAGACTTAATCACTGAGCTATTTTGGCTTTCCACGGGCCCTGAGATGCAAGCCTGCAGCCTGTGCCTTAGAGGATGGTCTTATTTGCTTCACTCATATTTTTCACAGGGTTCTAACAAACTTGATAATCTGGCTTTGCATTGCACACTGTGGAAAGGATCAGAGAGGCAGGCAGGAAAGGCAGTGGGCATGAGGTGTTAAAGGCCCAGGACCTTAGCAGCTGTAAGAGCAAACCACCTGACTGATAAATTGCATCCATGAAAATCCCAAAGCTTAAATTCACACAAAGGGCAAATGTTTACCTTGAGCAAAACTGTACTTATATTGAAAACGGTGTCAGGTGAAGAGTAGACCCTAAACATTCAGCATTTTCCTAGAGTCTCTTCCTACTTCCCTGTAGGCTACAGGCTTCAGTGCTCAAACATGAAGCAAATAGGGAGCAGTAAGGATGAGTTTGCTTGACCTATTTCTTCTAATGGATTGATGCTATAATAATGTTTTCTATATTTTTTCAAAGCATTTCTGGTTTTTTTGTAGTATTGGGGTTTGAACTTGGGGCCTCATACTTGCTAGGTAGGCACTCTACCATATTATCTATGTTCCCAGCCCTTTTTGCTTTAGTTATTTTTCAGATAGGGTCTCAAGTTTTTGCCTGGGGCTGAACTGAAACTGAAGTCATCCTACCTATGCCTCCTATGTAGCTGGAATTACAGATGCATGCCAGCTTGTTGGTTGAGATAGGGTCTCGTTAACTTTTTGCTCAGGCCAGCCTGCAACCTCCATCCTCCCAATTTCTGCCTTTTATATAGCTGGGATTATAGGTATGAACCAACACACCTGGATTCTTCCTTTTTCGTTTTTTGGCGATAGTGGGGTTTGAACTCAGGGCCTTAAGCTTGTAAGGCAGGTGCTCTTAGAGCTTGAGCCACTCTGCCAGCTCTGATGGGTTTTTTAGAGATAGGGTCTTAGGAACTATTTGCTTAGGTTGGCTTCAAACTGCAATCCTCCTGATCTCTGCATCCTGAGTAGCTAGTATTACAGGCATGAGCCACTAGTACCTAGCCTCTCTCTCTTTTTTCTTTTTTTGTATGTGTATGTATTTTTTTAATCATTTTTACATTTACTCACATGTGTCTTTTTTCTTTAAAAGCAAAGCATTTCAGTCTTCCCTTTAGATAGAGGGGAGAATTTAATATAAAAAATTATTTTTGCCTTTTCAGTTTTAAATTTAAAAACCTCATATGTTAAGCTCCTGTCTTCCCTTTACACTTAAAAGTCCATTTTACCTGATACAAGATGTTTGCCTTTGAAACTTCTCTGGGTGCTGCTTTAACTGTACCTTATAATTTTTTGGGTTTTTTTTGTGGTACTGGGGCTTGAACTCAGGGCCTACGCCTTGAGTCACTCCACCACCCCCTTTTGTTTGTGATGGGTTTTTTTGAGATTAGGGTCTCCTGAACTGTTTTCCCGGGCTGGCTTTGAACCTCAATCCTCCTGATCTCTGTTTCCTGAGTAGCTAGGATTACAGGCGTGCCACTGCTAGTGACTTGTACCTCATAAACTTAATGTGTCATGTTTTTATTGTTTTCTGGATACATTAAAATTTCAGGTTTGATTTACTCTTTGACTCAAGAATTGCAGAAATTAGGAGTTGCTACTTTTTAGTCACACTACCATCCTGTTGTCTTTTTTTGAAATTTTCTTAGCTACCTAATATGTTTTTTAAACGTTCCATGTGCATTTGAATAGAAGACGTATCTTCTGTTTTTTAAAAAAATAAGATTCCCACACATATTGGCTGACCTCTTTAACTAGATTTTCTGTTGTTGTTTTGTTTTTGATGGTTGGGGCACATTTACTCTGAATAGAACTGAAAAAGGCTCTCACTAATGTGTTTCAGTTTCATTTCATAGCCTCTATGTTTGTGCTTTTGAATGCTGAGATGTTTGAATAGAATTTATTACTACTACATTGTCATTATAGGTTATAATCTATATCTATGTAAAATAAACTTTTTTTGTCTTGTTTATAATTTTTGCCCTGAATTTAGTCTTGCCTACTATTACAGTCATGAATGAATCTTTCTTACTATTTATATTTGTTTGGTATCCCTCTGCCTACCCTTTAATTTTCAGTCCTTCTGAATCATCACTATGTTAGTTACATCTCTTTTAAAAACATTTTAATAGATTTTAACATTTGTGCGGGGCACAGGTGGCTCATTCTGTAATCCTAGCTATTCAGGAGGCAGAGATCAGGAGGATCAAGGTTCAAAGCCAGCCTGGATAAATAGTTTGAGAGATATGATCTTGAAAAAACTAGGGCTGCTGGAGTGGCTCAAGTGGTAACAGCGCCCGCCTAGCAAGCATGAGACCCTAAGATCAATGCAACCCCAGTACCACCCAACAAAAAAAGACAAAGAATTTAACATTTTTATTCACAGACCATAAATTCTATTCTTAGATTTTTATATGTAGTATTTGAATTTCCTTTGTTAGTCATTCTGGGAGTGGGTCTAGTAATAAGGGAGTTTATCTCATTTTGGGTTTATTTCTATTCATATAATCTGTGTTTGGTTTTTGTTTTGTCATTAAAAGATCTATTAGGATTTGCTTACATAACCTTTTGCCTTTTAAACAGTAAAGCCTAAAATCTGTTATTATGGGTTCATTTTTGTGTGTTATCTTCTGATAATTTGCAAACTTTGTGTTCTTATCTCATGGGTTGCATTTTAAATACAAAATAAAATGTATACTTAATTTTTTTCTTTCAGATTTCCATTTAAGATTTTAATCCTGCAGAAAAGTAGAAGAAATAGTGTAGTGAATATCTGTAGTTCATTCAACTCTACTCACCAGTTGTTAATATTTTGCTATATTTGTTTTTTTTGTGCTCCTAGCTTCATGTTTGTTTTGAGAATAGGGTATTTGAAGGTAACTGATACATATCGTGATATTCTATTCCTATTTTAGTATGTATCTTTTGGAAATAAGTGCATTCTCCTACTCTGCCACAATGCTATTATTGTATCCAAGTACTTGAACATTGGTACGATATCAAATATGAAGCCATATTGGCGTTTCTCCAGTCGTGGTCGCTTACGCCTTCTACAACTTTTTTCTGTATGATGCATTTGAGAATCATTCATTGTATTGACTTATATTTCTTTTATCTCCTTTAATCTACATTATTCTCTCAGGCTTTTTTTTTTTTTAATTTTTGGTACTAGGGTTTGAACTCAAATCTTCACGCTTGCTAGGCAGGCACTCCTCCACTTGAGCTGTGCCCCCAGCCATGTTTTTTTGTTTGTTTTTTTTAATGAAAAATCCAGGTAACTGATTTTACACAACGTCCCAACATTTGGCCTTCTGTGCTTCCTCGAGATAAGATGCAGTGAAACTTTTTGGGAAGAATTCAAAATATATCCTCCTGTCTCCATTAATCAAGTGGCCCGTACCATCGGTTGTCTCACTATTGGTTGGGTTAGGCTTAATCACATGGTTAAGGTGGTGTCAGTATTTTTAATGGCATTTTTATTCTTCCTATAAGCAGTGACTGAATAAATATTCTGCTCCCACCCTCTTTCATTTTCTTTTCCTTTTTTTTTTTGGCAGGGCCTTGCTATTCAATTCTGTCTGATTTTTCTAGGCTCTAGAAGCAGTGGCAGAGTCCTCATTTGGTATCAGTATCAAGCTGTGGTCCACCGGGGATCACCAGCCTGTGCCACCATGCCTGGTTTTATCTTCTTAATACTTTCAAAATTATAGGGTTGTTACTTGATTTACTGATTTTAAGTATGTGGGCCTTGTTAGAGAAGATGAAGATGGTGAGAAAAATCATCATCCTTATTGAGGCTCTCACCTTCTCTCACTTCCCTTCTGCCTTTTCTTAGACATTCACTTTTCTTTAAAACAAAGGAAAAAGAACACAAAGTATATGCAGTAATTTTAAAAAAATGACTGAACATATCTACAATTTCAGTTGTGTGGGTAGATCCTGCCATGGAACATGGTGAGGTCAGAGCAATTGAAGGAGACTGACTGAGAGAACAGGCTCTGGTTTTGTGTTTGGACTCATCCACCCTATCATCTACCCTACTTTAAATTTTTGATCAGCCATTCTTTATGGTTATTCTTTTTCATTTGTTTCTTTTTCTTTTTCTTTTCTTTTTTTTTTTTTTGGAGACAGGGTCTTGCTGTGTAGTCCATGCCAGCCTTGAATTTGAGGTCCTCCTGCCTCAACTGGGATTACTGGAATGTACCACTATGTTTGGAATTCTTCACGGTCGCTCTTGGTGTGGCTCTTCTAATCTTGAATCTTGTAGATTCATGTCTTATAGGAAGAATGATTTTTCTGGGCTGCATTGCAAATACCAGAGCACACATTTGGTATCAATATCATGCTTCAGGTCTACCTGAACCTGAGATGTTTTCTATTCCTTCCCTTGCCTTTATGCCCTTCCCATCTGTGTGTCCTAAGTGTGTCTTTTATTCTTGGCAGGTCTCCCAGTTGCTGGGCAAACTTCCGAATTTGTTAACCAAGTATTAGAGAAGACTGCAGAAGGCAATCCCACTGGAGGCCTTGTAGGACTAAGGATCCCAACATCAAAAGTGTAATCAGCCTCATGGACCACTGCTCAAAAATGTCTATTTTTGTCATGTTATCCATTGTATATTTTCATTCTGTTTTGCATGTCAGTTAGCATTATGTAAACATTTATAATTAGGTTATGTTGTTTTAAGAACTTGTAGCATAAGTGAAGCATGATCCAAAATACTTGATTATTGCATTTTCAGAGCATAAACCATGGTTAAACCTGCTACTGGCATTAGAATTGAAAGTCAAGTAAATTGTTTAAGCATAGATTACAAAAAATATGTTAAAGGAAAATATTTTGGAGGGGTGAATATCAAAGTGTAATGCCAAATTTATAGCTAATTTATGCTCTGAATATTGAGGAAGCATTTTTTAAATGGTCCATTTAGATTGTTTTTAGAATTACTGCTTTTGTTCTAATTTTCCACAACCATTAATCTCACTTGTCCATGGCACACCCAGCACTCACATCTGTGTGCCAAGTTAGATGTTCATTATCAGAGCTCAATATGATATATAAGTATATATATAGATATATATATATATATAAAATGTCTGTGCAAGTAAGAAAAAAAGCATATTCTTTGTGCCTTGTATTTTGGAAAACTATAAAACTGGTAATATTTTGTATGATGAAAACCCTAATGAGGAAAAACAAGATACATAGACGGAAAAATTATGGGGTTTAAATGTTTTTTTGTTCCAACACTTTTTCAAATTTTTTGAATGTATATAGGACTATGTTGAAATGTAGATATATGCCACAGAGTCTGTGTATTGTATAAAAAACAAAACAAAAACAACAAAAAAAAAAGATGGCTCTAGAAAACTCTATTTCGGTACTTGACCGGAAGAAGACAAATACTTGCACATTATTGCGATTGTTTTATTTTTTTGTACCAAAGACAAATGCAACTGATATGGCAAACTGCCAGTCTAAGTAAAGTTTTGCACAGCTTACATGATACTGTATGAATGTATGAAAAAAAGGAGAAAAAAAGAAAAAAAATTTAAAGGTCAGGGTTAGGGATCTTACTGAACTGTGAATTTTATTTCTGTTTGGGTCCAATTATCTACAGAAGGAGCATCCATCCATATGAATATTATTTTGCTGTTCCTCTAGTTCGCTTCCATAGTAGATAAGTTGATGGCCATTTAGGTGTCTGTAAGTCTTTTATTTCTGCACTTACTGTAGGAAATTTTAATATATTGCATTTTAGTAAGCTATTGATACAATAGTTTTTGACTTTGAGAGTTAAAAAGTTTATTTAGCTTGTTGTAGTATACTTCCACCAAACAACCAAAATACAGATTATTTTTATTGTATTATGTATATATATGTAAAGAGAGAGAAAGCTAAAAAAATCTAATTCTTTAGTTGCCACTTTTCCAATTGATGTATTATTGTGCATGTAATATTTTCAAAGATCAACACAAGCTCAAAACAAAAACAAAATTTATAAATTTTTATATTTTTGTACAGGTATTTTCAAACTAGCTTCTTCAAACTTACATGTGACTTATTCTTCTATAGTTTCTAGAATTGAGAAACATTAACACATTTAGTTTTTAGGTGCTCTTTTGGCTCACATAAAGTAGCTTCATTAGTCAGTGTTTTGACTGTGTTCAAGCTTTACCTCTTGATGAGAATCTCTTATGTCAAGGCAGCATTATAAACCTTCACCGCAGATCTTTCCATCCTCTCTGTTGTACTCTCAAATCTTGTGTTTGGAACTCTGAAAACTGGTGGCTTAAAAACTAAAAAGAAAAAAACAGATGTATCTAGCACAAAAAAACAAAAACATGAAAAACCAAAAATTTCAGACCTACCTGCTGAGAAAATACCTATTTCTCCATGACCTGGTGGTAGGGTTTTTCTTATAATTATACTTTTTCAGTATGTTTCATTTTCTTCTATTTCTTTCCATTTGTAAGCGATAGCATATGAAGGTTTGATTCTAGAACCCACAGTAACAACCCAACAATTTTTCTCACTTGCTTCTTTGATATCATGAGACATAAGAAACGGAGGAGGATTGTCTTGACATGTTAACTGTGACGCACAAGGTTTTCCCTTGTGTTTGGTGGAAAATGTACCTGGTTAGTGCATTCACGCTGAACAGATGATAAGCTCCAATCTAGTGGTTAGTAGATACAACTTCATTGTTTCAAGTTTTTCCTTTTTAGGTGGGAGAAGGCAAAGCATTGGTTTGCAACTTGGAAGTACATGAAGTCTTGACAGAGTGTGTCTGGAAAATTACAAGTGTTCTAAAATATGGCAGTTTTGCAGTCAGGTGAAAATTGTTTCATGATAGATATTCAGCTGATGAAGTTTATAAAATTGTCCCTTTCTAGCTGCTCTGTTAGGAATTCTGGAATTCTGGTTTTTGATACTTTTTTCTTGTCTGCAAACCAGAATTTGATTTTTGGTCTTGCATTTCAAAAGAAGACTTTGAATCTGTTTAGTAGATTCCATTTCCTTGCATTTCAGTGTTTTATATGTACTACTTAAGTTAAATAGTTAAAAGCTTTTAAATAGTTGAGCTTTTTAATGTCGACACTTTATTTTGTACCTATTTATATATGTATATCTTAGAAAAGCACTTTGTTAAAAAAATGCATTTTATATGATTCCTGCCATTTGCTGCTAAATCTGGGCTGGTCAGAATGCTGCAGTGATACTTGAGCTAAATACAACCTGGCAGTAAAATGTAGAGTGAAAGTTAAATCCTCTTGCTGTTTTAACTTTATCATAAAGATGACATAGGCAAGCTGTGCAGCTTTACATTTTAACCAGGGGACTCTGTGGCATTTAAAACCGTCTAGAAATGGTTGTACTTTAATGCCAGTAATAATCTGCTTCCTCTATTGTCATTACAATATATACGTTTAGTGTATCACACAAACAAATCTTACAAGGTAATGTAAAAACCCCAACAATGTACATGTTCTGTTTTTGAAAATTGTGGCATGTATTTTTTCGGTGAAGATCATTAGAGAAAATCTTTCTAATGGTTTTCCGTGTTCATACATGGTATACAGATAGCTCATAATGAAGTCCAGACTCTTTCTTTAAGTGAAGGCATTGTGAATTCACTCAAATAAACCCACTTTTCCAAAAGCAGTGATAAACTTTGACTCTAGTACTACTATGATTTAAAAAAAGAAACAACAAAAACTTTCTTCCTGGTTTCAAATACACTGGATTCTTTATAGAGTTTGTCTCCATATGAAAGCATGCTGTCCAGTTACTCTTGTCAAGATCTTGTCTGAGTTTTGAATTGGGTGCCACACTTTTCAGTCAACATGATTGCTTGTTCTACTGTACCATGTATGGCTCTTGTCCTTTCCTGTATCCTTCATGACAGATTATGATGTGGCTTTATATTGTGCCTTACTTGTACATTTAAAATGGAACGTCTTCATTCCCTTTCACTTCCTAAATCTTTAACTTTGATCCTTTTTGGTAAGAGAATCAGAGCTACTACAAAAGCATCATGAAGGATTTCAGATGGGTATGATTTCACATTCCCTCTCTTTGTAGGTATTTTATATTTGTATGAAAGACCAGTTTTGAATGGTCTTTGAATATGAGGGGGAAAGATTAACAGTAATTTCACTACATCCTTTTCTCTGACTTTCATGAATTCATCGTACATCTTTCTGATGCTTGACTTTATTTGCTTCTTAGCAATAGTCTGCATTTAATGAAAGGTGTGTTCAGTTCATCTGCTTGAAATTGACTATTTCATTTTCCAGAACTTTTTAGGAGAAGAGTACCCATTTTGTTTGTTTTATACAACAGATGACAAGTCTCTTTAAAAGAAACAGAAATATAGTACTTTTGAAATACAATGCTGTTAGTATATGGATTTCTTTTTATATATAATATTCATACAATTATCTGATGTTTGCCTTCATTAATAAAGCTGTTAGTTTATTCACCAAAATGTCAAGAATGGATGTGCTTTTCTTTATTCCATACATTTAAAAATATTTTAGCTGCTAAGATTTAGTTAACTTCCTAAGAAATGAATTCAAGTTGCCTTCAGCAGGAATTAACAAAAACTTATGTTCCCTTTCTTTATATAGTCTTCCTAAAATTCTGTTCAAGTATTTTCTAGTGAATTATGTGACAGAATGTTAGCATCTCTCCAAATCTTGAAACTTGAATTTTGAGAATGCATTGAATTATGCTTTCAGTGTTAAAAGGTTTCAACTGTCCTTCTTGTGAAATCTATTGTGGAATACCATTTCCCATGGAACTGAGGCCACTTCCACAACTTTGCACAGAACTTCAGTCTTGTTCTTCCCTTGGATCATGACAAATAAGTCTCACACAGTGCCGTAATACTTGTGGATTCTTTTGTAATCTTTGTAATCTTAATAAGGGCATTACGAGAAGATGACTTCATGTTTTTTTAATATTTTAAACACATTGGGATGAACAATGAATGTCAATTGTAGGAATGGTGGTTTCGTTTTAAGGAATGAGCATGTTGGGGAAAGATGAAATGTACTACTGAAAGTTATGCACTTCATAGGCGAGGGGGATTATGTGTTGAAGCATAGTCCTCAGTGCTTAGTAAACTGACTGAAATTGTAGAAATCACACCTAGAAACTGAACTATGCCAAATTACCTTTTTTGTTTAGAAAAGAGAGGTTTGGAGGTAGCAATAAGGTAATAGGACCTCACAACTACTTCCAAACAGTGTTTTGGATTTGAAGACTTGGTGACTATCAGAGTATCAAGGCGCTGGGTATTTCAGTGTGCCAAGTTTGGGTGAACTAGGTTTGCCCCTTTCGTAACAGTGTAAACACAGTGGTGTAGTTGAATCCATTCTGGGTGCAGGAGCAAGACTGATTACTGTGTCTTGCCTTTTGCCCCTTGTTTTTTTTCAGAACCAAATAACAAATGGTATGTGTGTACTGTATCTGCCTTTCCACCACATTTTTTTATGACACTGTATTCCACTGCCTGCTTTTCTACCTTCTTTCCACAGTATTTGTCCTATAGCTTAGCATTTGTGGTTAACAGTGACAACTAGGGCTGCCAGCACAGAAGTCGCAAGAGAAGAGCAGAAGGGCAAGAAATCAAAGCATTTGTTTCTACAATGTGGCAACCTCTTTTGCATAGTTGCTTAGGATCCTGTTTGTAATGCTGTCATAAAAATTATGTAGTTTTGTTTATCCACCCCCAGCTGGAGCTATGACACTTTTTATTGGATTCAGTCTTGTCTCTTGTCTAGAAAGAATTTTACCTTGTTGACGCATGAGCTGTTTAAAAATTATTCTATTCAATGTTGGGTAATAGTTGTGCAGTTTTTCATTTCAGAAAAAAAGGCGATGCACAAGTTGCCTTTGTTTTCTGTCACTTTCCAGCCCCTCAGCACTTTTAGTCAGATACAGATTCATCAGTGTATGCAACATCCTTTGTAATTTAAAATAAAAAAATGAAAACGTTTTGAATTGTTTGCCTCATGTTTTTGTCCTTCCTTTCTCTACTTTCTGTTGCCTACCAAGGCCAAGTATTCACTCCTCAAGACTACCTATTCCAAAGAGTTTCCCAACTACAGAGAGCAATGAGCGTATGTGTTCCTTCAGCCAGCAAACATTTGTTGAGCACTCACTCTTCCAGAACTTGTGCTACGTACTAGGCTGCAGAGAGACTGAAGAGACCTCCGGGAACTCTGTCAGCCAATGGGGACGGCCTGTAGTTGGGCCTATAAGATGAGCTGTTAAAGCTAGGCAAAGGACTCCAGGTACCATGTCCAGTGGGATATGTTAGAGAAGACTTGATAGAATTGTATTCTTGACAGCCTAGACTTTTTTTTTTTTTTTTTGCTTCATTTGAGGGGCATTTGGGCCTCCTGTGAGGCCCTCCTCCTCTAGCTCTCTTCAGCACTCACTTCTGAAGACTTCACAGGACACTGTCCTGGCTGTGGAACTGGGTGAGCCAGACTAGTATAGTCCTTAGAAAAAATCTTGTGTTCTAGCATCAGTTAGATGAGTCACTGTTGTCCCTACTCACAAGGATTTTAGAGCCAGGCGAGCACTAAAGTTACGAATTGTACTAGCTCTAGTGCAATGAAGAATTTGAAAGAAAGAAAAACACTCATTGGGAAATGCGCTCATATCCCAGCAAAGGGTCAGAATGGAAGGTATGAAATGTGACAGTGTGGCCTTCCTTAAAAATGTGCTCTTTGTTTTCCTGTTACAGACCTTAGCTAACTCAGCTGCTATTCTCAAGGGCCCAGAGAGACTGCTGGTCATGTCCATTTTACAAAGACTCAGATGAGGCTAGCTGCACACCCAGCTTTTATAACATGGAACCCCAGTTCACGCTCCAGTCTGCTTGCTGCATTCCAGGGACTATTAATACCTCAGATGTCCAGGCTGAGTCATAATATTTAAAAGGATGTCCATTTTGGTGGTAAATAATGGGTTTAAAATTTAAAAAGCAGCTGGGTGCCCAGTGGCTCATGCCTGTAATTCTAGCTACTCAGGAGGCAGAGATTAGGAGGACTGCAACTCGCAGCCAGCTCAGGCAAACTGTTCGGGAGACCCTAATGCGAAAAAACCCATCACAAAAAGGGCTGGTGGAGTGGCTCAAGGTGTAGGCCCTGAGTTCAAACTCTACAACCACAAAAAAAATTCTAAAGAAAGTTCCCAACTATCTGATGTAAAGCAGCAAAGGAGAGTTGGGAGTAATCAGTGATTGGGGGTGTGAGTCACCAGACTGCACACTTACTTGTCTATTGGAAGGAAGTTGTTGTGTTGGAGAGTGGAGAAATGGTGAGCTATGTTTTCTTTAGCTGTTGCATACAGATGTAACTAAAGACTGTTGGTTGCATAGGGATTTCCAGCAAGAAGTATGAAGGGAGAAGGGCCCAAGGGCATGTAACAGATCTGTCCAGTGCTGGCTTTGGAACTTCAGTGTCCTGAACAGGGAGCTTCTATACAAGGGTCCAAAACACTGGAGTGACTTACTTCATTAAAAGTTTTAGTCTTAAAATACTGACAGGAATAAGATGGAAAAAAATGTACAAACTTTAAAGTACTATGAAGGTAGCCGGGCGCTGTTGATTCACCCCTGCAATCCTAGCTAATCAAGAGGCAGAGACCAGAAAGATAGTGGTTTGAAGCCAGCCTGGGCAAACAGTTTTCAAGACCCTATCTCGAAAAAGCCCATCATAAAAAAGAGCTGGTGGGGTGGTTCATGGTGTAGGCCCTGAGCTCAAGCCACAGCACCACAAATAATAATAATATGAAAGATACAGAAGAAAACTTGGGACAAATGGAAAGGTACACCAAGTTCTTGAACAGGAGCAGTCAATGCTACCACTACTAACTTACATTAAACATGCAATGTCTTCCTAATAAACAAAGCAAGAAGACTTTTAAAAAATAAAAATCACCTGAAGTTTTTGTGAACTAAAAAATAGCTGGAAGATGCTGAGGGGAAAGGAGAAAAAGTAGATGTTTAATCCTAGAAGATATTAGAATTTATTAAAAACTAAGTTCAAACAATGTTATGTTGGTGCATGAACAGGTCAGTAAAATAGAATGGCAAGCCTAGAAACACATACAAATATACATAACAATTTAATATGGTAAGTGTGGCATCCAGAACCCAGGAGAAAAAGATGGACCCAGTAAGTCATGTTGCAACCACTGGCTAACCTAGAAAATGTTAAGTTTCCACTGTATCTCACATCTTAAACCAATACATATTTCAAGATGGATAAAGATTAATCATAAAAACATTAGAAGGAAGTGTGCCCTTCCTCTGTAATCCCTAGGGGTAAGGAAGGAGTTTCTAACTCGGAACCCAAATCTATGAGTTTGAACACTTGAGTAATTCTATGTAAAACAAAACATTATCTTCTTTAAGGCCCAAAACACCATAAACTATACACAAAAAAATCCAAATCAAACAAAAGAAACCTTTGCAACTCTAATCTCTAAGGACCAATCCCATTCACATACAAAGAGCTCCTGTAAACTAATATGGTAAAAGACCAGTGACTTAAAAACAATGAACAAGCAAATATAGCTCTAAAACATAGGAAGAGCTCATCAAACTCATTCATGATCAAAGAAATGCAAAATAAAGACTTTAACCTAATTTGATGGGTAAAAATTCAAATATTTATTAACACATCATGTTGGCTAGGCACTGGGAAAACAAGCACTGTTTCCCTGGTTGGAGTGTAAATTGATAAATCCCAAGGAGGAGCAATTTGATAGTATGTCAGTTTTAAAATGTGTGTAGTGTATCTTTTGACCTAGCAACTCCACCTTTGTTGTGTGGTGTTTTTTGTTTGTTTGTTTGTTTTACCTCATAGAGTTACTGTGAGAGTCAGGTGAGATTACCTACAAAAGTGCCTGTGATGTGGCAAATGCGCCTATGGTTAGTAACACACTGATAGCAACCAACAGGCCTTTAGTTTTACCACTCCACACTGTCACACTGTGCCTGATACTTTTCATGTTTTAACTCATTGAACCCTCCAATCAATGCCATGAAGTAAAAAACGCCCTGGTGATAATACTGTAATTACCAGTTAGCCTCTGAAGAGGCTGCACAGTAGGACTGGTGCTTGGGCAGATGCTCACGTCTGTAATACCAGCTTCTTAGGTGGTGATCCAACTTACAGGGGAGTGTGTGCAGTACAGTAGGAACACAAATGAAGGAGCACATAGCCTTGTACCACACTGCAAAGTTCTTTTTAAGTAAAACTTCTCACGAATCTGCATGTCATGCTAATCTCTGTATTGTTTCAATTTTAGTATATGTCCTGCAAGTTCTGTGTGTGTGTGTGGGTGTGTAGCAAGGATCGAACCCAGGGTCTTCCGTATGTTGAGCACACACTGTACCACTGGTTACTCCCTGGTGATTTCATTTCACTGAATCCAATCCTATGTTTATTTTTCTAGAATTGTCCAGAAGTTTTGTTGTATGTGTCCAAGGACATGTAAACATAAACATATAAACATGTAAATATATTTTTTTCCTTTTTTGGTGGTGTCGTGGATGGGGTGGGGAAAGGCTTTGTAGGAAGGGGGACACCACACTCCAAGGCTGCAGAACCACAGAGGACCCGAGGAATCCAGGAGTAGGCTGAATGGGGTGGCCACGGCTTTGAGGACCAGTTAAAATTTTTGCACTATTTAATAATAAAAAATGAAATGAAAGAACCACCGTGTGTCGAAGGCTTGCTCTGGCACTGTTTCTATCAAAACTCCACGAAACCATCGGCGCCTCTCCAGGGAGGCGTGCAACAAACGCGATCCTCCATCACGCAAGGCCGGGGTCCGGCGGGAGGCAGGGTATCAGGTCTGAGATTTAGAAATATCCCTTAAACCGTGGATTGGACCGACAGAAGGTGCTTTAGTGACCTGCTTCGAATTCCATACATTTTTAAAAATGTTTATTATCTTCCCTTTTACTCCATAATTCACACTTATTCTATGAGTATAAAAATTCAAGGAAGTTATAAAAGATTAAATTGCACCTTCCAGAAACATCCCAGTTGATCCTAGTCTTTTTTCTCCCTCTTTGTTCTATAGTCAGAAGGGCTGGTAGTGGGAAGATGGAAAGTTACGTCATACCGCGTTGTGACGTTTCTTCTCCTCTTCCTTGTGTTCGGCTGCTGCCCCGCAGCTTTCTGACAGGAGCCGCGCGGGGGGGAGGGGCGCGCTGGAGTTTACGCATGCGTACTGAAGCTTGGCTCGCACCTTTCCGACGGGGACCACAGGGGGCGTGGTCTGGGGGTTGCGCATGCGCGCTGAAGCTTGGGTCCCGCCGCGGTCCGTAGTTGGCGTCCCCAATATGGCGGCTTCCCAGGACGTCCACGTCCGAATCTGTAACCAAGAGATCGTCAAATTCGACCTGGAGGTGAAGGCGCTCATCCAGGTACGGACTCTGGACTCCTTCCGACTCCTGCAGCCTCGTCGGCCTCCCGAGCTTTCCTGACTTGGTCCAGGCGTTCAGTCCCCGGGGCCGGCGGCTCCTGAGAGGTTCCCTGGCCACCGGACGACAGATCTGTCACCCTCCCGACGTCTCCTCGCCCTTCGGCTGGTCGCCGCGGCCCTCTGCCGGCAGCTCCGCTGGGCCGGTCCCCGGGGTACGGGGGTCACCGAGCGGCGATGGAGTGTGGGTGAAGGAGGAGTGACGTGCCAAGCCCAGAGTCGGAGGGCAGACTGCAGTCTGGACGGGGCAGGTCTCTAGTAAAGCACCCCAGGTCTTCTCTACCCAGTTCACAGATGGAAAGTGAGGTGCTTGGCTTGAAGCCATTTCAGGGTAGAACGCAGCAGTGCAGTCAATAGTTGACATAGGCAAGAGTTAGCAATGTAGAAATGTTCCATGAGCTTAGCAGAAAAAAATCAAGAGCTGTAATCCTTTCCTACTTCCCTTTCCAACAAATGTTACTAAACATTAGATGCACACTCGAGTTCACAACAAGCTGTGGCAAAAGGTGAAGGGAAAGTATGGCTCCCAGATAAACCAGATGCAGAAGACACCAAAGTTGTGGTTTATCAAATGGTACAAGGGGGTATGACATAAGGAGCAAGCCACTGAACAAGCGAAGAAAATTAATGCAAATATATACATTTCTTGAGCTTCACTCCTCAGACACATAAACAAAACTTCCCCACTAATTTAGGAAAATAGACATAAGACTGTGTTCATACAACTGAACTTCCCAGGGGACAGGGAATGTATCTCAATGGTAGAGTGCATGCTTAGCATGTCCAAGCCTGAGTTCAGCCCTCAGTACACACACACACACATTGTCAGGCATGGTGGCACACAACTATAATCCCAATACTCAGGAGCCTAAAGCAGGAGGATCATGAATTCAAGGCAAGCCTGAACTACATACTGAGACACTTTTTTTTTGCGATACTGGGGCTTGAACTCAGGACCTACACCTTGAGCCACTCCACCAGCCCTTTTTTGTGATGGGTTTTTTTTTTTTTTTTTTGAGACAGGATCTGTTTGCCTGGACTGCCTTCAAACCACAATCCTTCTGATCTCTGCCTCCTGAGTAGCTAGGATAAAAGCTGTGAGCCCCTGGGACCTGATGAGACCCTGTCTTGAAATAAAAAATAAAACATTACACCCAAGGTTTAAAAACAAAAATTACCTTTTACATCATTTGAGTTGCCTGGGTCCTCTTTTGTACCCTGTTGTATTTGGGTTCTTGTGATCACTCATGAGAACCAGCGTTCAGCAGCTCTGCTAAGTGCTTTACACATACATGATCTTCTAGGTAATGTGATGAGGAAACAGGCATAGAGAACTTAAGTAACTTTTTCAAGGATGCACAGCTACTAAGTTCCTCCACCAGGATTTCAATGCATATACTCTGCATGCAGAAGCCTGCTTTAAAACTTGGCCCCTGTAATTCTGAATTTATTTCCGAACCAAATTTTCAATCCACCCTTAAGCATGTCTATAAACATTGTGATTGAGAACAGATGGTTTGTAAAATCAGACTAAATCTTTCATATGTTGCCAGAAATTTAAGCATCCTGATTTTCGAGTTGGAAAGATATAAAGTTATAGTATCACTTTTGGATGTCCATTCCTGTTGAATATATAAGCTGCTTTAAGCCGTTCACACTGGCTGGATGACGCTTTGTTAAACTTAAGGAACTCATAATTAGGTCAAGGTAGAGTTATGTTTTTTTCTTTGCATATGTATGTGTGTGTACATATATCTGTGTATCGTATTTGTGTGCATATATATATATGTATGTATGTATGTATTAATTTTTGTGGTGCTGGGAAGCAAACCCAGGGCTTTGTACATGCTAGGCAAGCACTCTGCTACTGAGTTACACCCCAGTCTGCCCTTCTATTTTCTTCTCAGCATTAAAGAGGGATGAGAAAATGTAAGTGATAATGTTTTTGTTTGAGTTGCAGAGGTAAATAGCACTAAATAGGATGAAGTATTTATTTATTTTGGCAGTACTGGAGTTTGAACTCAGGGCCTTGCACTTGCTAGGCAGACACTTTACCACTTGAGCTACACCCCCAGCAGCAATGAGTAGGATGGATCATAGGCGAACCTTAGCTGTGGTCTCGTTCAACTTCCTCATTACAGATGACGTTGTTTGGTTTCATTCCCTTTTCTCTTCCATGTCTCCTAGGATATCCGTGATTGTTCAGGACCTTTAAGTGCGCTTACTGAACTGAACACTAAAGTGAAAGAGAAGTTTCAGCAGTTACGGCACAGAATCCAGGTGAGTGGCTGCAGAACTGAGAGAGTGAGAATGGGTGACAGTGAAGGGGGCTCAGTCCTGGTACAGCTTCCACATAAGTGCTACCCAGTTCTTCAGATACTCGTGGATGGAGTGGTCAGCATTAGATAGTGAGGTGTCTGTGCTGCTAATCTGCTCTCCAGGTTAGGAACTGGAGTGCAATTTGAAGACACAGCTCATTTTGGCTATTTTCTCTGTTGCTCTCCAGCCCATTCTCTCATTGCCGACCTCAGGCTTCTCCTGGGTGTTTTGCGTGTTGTCACTTTGCCTAGCTACTTCCTTTCTGTTTGTGGAGTCACCAGTCACATCATATGCACATTAATGCGCCTGGTTTCAACGACAGAGGTGCTATCTGAAAACACTGGAGTGTGCGGGAGCAGGTGAATAGTGGGTGTTTCCATTGCTGTGCCTTCAGTGAGGGTGAGATGAGTGCTATGGACCTGCCCTTCCCTGGGCGGGTCTGGAGCCACCTAGCATCACTGCACATGGTAAACATATGTGTGTTTCATGTGCCATTGCCCTAAATGTTAGCCTTTCACTTTGCTGTTACTTAGCAGAGAAAGACATTCTGTCCCAAAGCAGGTTTTAACTCAAAGAAGCAACAGATCTGTGTCCTGTGTGTGGCCTTCCTAAAGGATTTTCAATTTTAAAAATACCCAGTTTTTAGTTAACTCTAAGTTAACTTAGAATTTTAGCACTGTCACTATACCTGGCTGATTTCTTTCTGCCTCCATCACTAGGCTGATTTATTCATCGTAATTTTTAATTTGTGAGAGTGTTACTTTCCCGTGTTTTATATTTGTATGTGTGTGTGTATGTGTGTGCGTGTATGTAAATGTCAGCATACGTGGAAGGCTCAGTTACGCCCCTTCTCCTCTACAGTAACCACTTCTGTGTTACTTACATATTTTTCCAGAGTTTCTTTACTCAATATTTTCTTAGTTCTTCCCCATTTTTCATCTATAAGTTAGTGTGTTATATCACTGCCTTGCTAAACTTAACAATATGTATTGGAAGACTTTTCATATCAGCAACTAGAGACCCTCCTTAATCTTTTTGTATAGCTATAATTTTTCTATTAAAAACAGTTTATTAGCATGAATTTGTTGTGTGTAGGGGGTTTATTGTGACATGTACATATGTGCTTACAATGTATCTTAATTAGATTCACCCCCTCCATCATTCTTCTTCATCCCCTTCCTTCCCTTCTTAGAAGTTTCAACAAGGTTCATTGTTCTATTTTCATACAAGTATGCAAAGTACACCCGCATGTTCGCCTTCCTTCCCCCTGTCCATTTACGTAACCTCCCCTCTTTCACTGGTTCCCTCCCCCAGACAGGACCTGTTTTACCTGCCTGTGTTTCATTTTTTTCAGTATATATTGATTGTTTAAATAGTTATAATTTCTTAGGCATCTTAGAAGATGGCTTCTACGGTTTTTTTTGCGTCTTTTTTTTTTTTGCTTCTTTTTTTTTTCAGTACTGGTGTTTGAACTCAGTGTCTCACACTTGCTAGGCAGGTGCTGTACCACTTGAGTTACAACCCCAGCCTTTTTTTGATTTTTAAAACTAATTTATTTCCAAAAGAGCCTTTCTTCAACTCAGCATGTCTTTAATTCTCCAACTACAGCCACTGACTTCAGCACGAGTGTTTCCTTGTTCTGTTTGTATATCTACATGCTTTTCCCAGTGTTTATTTCCTTCAATGATTTAAATAAATTACCTCACAATACATTTATATATTTATTATGCTGTGTACCCCCTATTACGTTAGCTCCTTGAGCACAAGTGTGTTGCTGGCACCTAGCAAGGTGAAAGAACGTGCTCCATGAATCAATAACCCCACACACTTCTAGTCTGCATTTCCTAAACATTTATGTACTCTATAGCTAGAAGTATATACAAGATTTTTATTTGTTTGCTGTTTTAGCTCTTAAGTGAATGTCTCTTTTGTATATTTGCAACAAGATTGTGTGATATTAGAATAGAATTGGCCCATATCCTCAGAATTTGCTGGGTTTTTTTGTTGTTTGTTTATTTTGGGCAGCACTGAGGTTTGAACACAGGGCCTCATGCTTGCTATGAGGCACTCTTAACACTTGAGCCACTCCACCAGCCCAAAATTTTCTGCTTTATACATAGTGTTGGACACTCACTGTGTGCATATCTATATGTATGTCTTTGGATGTACAGGTATTAAACTGGAATTTGAGAAGTACTCTACTTTTCTCCAGAACTGTTGCTGGTCTGTGACAGAACTTTCGGGCAGACTCTGATGAAGAAATTTTATATTTCTCTCTTTTTTTCCCTTCTTCCTGTACATACCCATCTTCCCTTCAGTGATTCAGTACCTAATATGTGCAAGGTTCAGGGATAAGTGTAGTGAAACACTAGATACAACTCTGCTCTCAGTGAGTTTACATCCTAGTAGGGAATATCAATTTTAAACAGTCATGCAAAATAGCTAACTGATGACATATGCAAACTTTTTTCAATCTACAGTCAATTATTTCTTTTTATATTGTTTTTAGCAATATTTGGAGGCATAAGTTGAAAGTCATTTCTGAGCTACTGAAATGGTGTTAGGAACACACACTTGTTCCAAACCAGCACTTGCAAATTAGTATATAAATAAATAGATATATAGATGAGATAATATGTTGCTGTGATAGATCAATAGCTTGATTTCAATGGGAACTTGTTCTAATTTGTAAACAAAACAATGGGACTTGAGACTTGAGGTGTTGTGGCATCATTACTTATAATACATGTGACCATTCCATCATCTGAAGCTCTTTGGGGTCTGATAGTCCTGACTGTTATGTCTGCTGCCTCTCCCTGATGGTGGATTATCTCCCTGCTGTTGGGTTGTTTGCACTTTGAGTACTGTCTTCTACAGACCTTACCTGTGAGACTTTGTGCAGCCTTTTCAGGGCAGTCCCTCCTGAGGTTTTTGCATCTCCTTCTGGAATTACCACAAATTCCAGATACTCTTCATAGAAGTTCTCAAACCACTTAGGGAAGATAAATTTGAGTCCCTGGTCAGCATGAGGGCAGCTCCCCAGTTATAAATTCTCAGGAGAGTTGTCTTTTTTTTTTAAACCCCTCTATCCAGAGCCCACAGCCCAAAACAGACAAGTATCCATGTTTTCACCCTGCTGGCAGGTAGACATTTTTCTAGACCTTTTCTGGGTCCTGAATTTGTGGTTTTCTCGGCTCTAGTTCTCAGCCTCAGATGGCCCGAGTCTTCTTTTTTCTATCCCTACATGAACTTCCTGTTTATTTATGGTGGTACTAGAGTTTTGAACTCAGGTGGGGTCTTGCTATACAGGTGCCCTACCACTGAGCCATGCCTCCAGCCTTTTATTTTTCTTTAGGTAGGTTTTGCATTTTTGCCCCAGGCCAGCCTCAGACCACAATCCTCCCAATCTCTGCTATCTGAGTAGCTGGGATTACAGGTATGAGCCACCGTGTCTGGCCTCCTACATGAACTTTCAAATTTTCAAACTGTTTGTAACCCGTCTGTGGTGGATAGGTACAAAACAGAGAGAGCATTTGAAAATACAAGATTGCGTAGTATTCTTGTGATATGTAAGTGTGGTCAGTGGGCTCATGTTCTGTAGGCTTTTTCTGTTTCATTTCAGGCCCTAGGTTATAAGAGTATCAACTCCTACCCCAGAGCAGCCATGAGCTAACCACAAGCTGACTGCTCCCATTCTTAGTTCCTTTCTTACTTTTGGGCCCTTGGGATTTTCCTCACTTCCTTGCAAACCTGGCTATATAGTTCAAAGAATGTGTTATATGTTTTCAGCACTCCTAGGTGTCCTGCCTTAAAAGGGTGCTTCAAGTGCCATTGTGTGCCCTGGCACTCAATAAGAAGTGCTCTTCTGTTTCATGTTACCTTTTAAAATCATTGTGACTTAGGGCTAGGGGTGTAGCTCAATCAGTAGAGTGCTGGCAAACAGATGGCCCTGAGTTCAAACCCCAGTATTGCCAAAAAACCCAAAAACTCCAAACCAAAAACATTGTAACATTGAGCTATTTTCCCCTCCAAGGAGCTTGAGCAGTCAGCTAAGGAGCAAGACAAAGAATCAGAGAAGCAGCTTCTACTCCAAGAAGTGGAGAATCACAAGAAGCAGATGCTCAGGTAGGCAGGTCTGGCCGCCGCCAGCCCCCTCCTCTAGGTCACTTGCTCCTTTTGAGGCTTGAGCATATTTGCCTAATAAATTTAGTTTGGTGATTAGATAACTGTCATTTACACACAGGCTGAATGTGCTCCCTAGATCAGTAGTTTTCTACTGGAGGAAGAGGGGAGGGATAAGCAATGGGAGCTATACATAGTTTACAAAGCAGATTTCATGTTACACTGTATTTCATATTTTTGAAACAAAAACAAAAAATATGATTGCCTTTGTAATATAGGATCAGTTCTATCTAATAGTTGGCCCTAGAGCCAGGTGCCGGTGGCTCATACCTGTAATCCTAGCTACTCCAGGGGCAGAGATCAGGAGGATCATGGTTAATAAACTTTTGTACAGTAATCATAAAGAGGGTTGTCACTAAAAATATCGAGGGCTCCACCAACTTTCCCAGTCCACTGGTGTTCAGGCATTTCTTCTGAAGCCCCTGCCTGTGAGCATTCCCATAGGCTTGCTCTTTGTGCCTTGCTCATTTCATCTAGCTCTGTGTTTGCTTGTGGCTTCGCTTCTAAAGTTGAGTGATTGTCTGGCACCATCCTCACTGACAGCAGCTGTGTAACACCAGCCATGGGAGGCACTGGCTGATCAAGTTGTGGGCATGGGGGAGGCAGTGTGAGCAGGATGGGGTGTGAGTGGCAAGCAGTGTCCTAGCACTAAACTCACTGGTGATTACATTGTATCAGAGCTTGCTTTCCTGTGCCACCAAGGGAGTCAGATCACCAACATGGGGGAGAGAGCACCCAGTATATAAAGAATAGGTGGTCACACTGGGCGCAGTCAGCTTAGCCCAGGCTTAAAGCTGAGGAGGAGATAGAAGATGAGTGGTGAATTGTGGTTCTCAAGGACAGCACTGCCAGGACATATACCAGAGCACTTAAAGCCATAGAGGCCACTTGTCAGAACGCGGCTTTGTATGGCAGCTAAGGAGTTTGGATTGTTACCCTGTAGTCTGGAGCCACTGAGGGGTTCTAAACAGTGAGTCCTATCTCCTGTCCCCTAGCTGCCTAAAGAGAAAGGGACAGTGGTAAAACATCTTGCATACAACTTCCAGGATCCAGAGGGAAAATCTTAAGACCTGAGCTAGAGTAGTTGCCAGGGCAACCAAGAGGAGCAAGTAGTAGGAGGTGGGGATGGACTCCATGAGCTACACCTAGGACAGACTGCTGCAATTGGAACTACAGCCTGGTGGAGTCAGAGAACCTCACATGCCACTTCCTCTTTCCAGCAATCAGACCTCATGGAGGAAAGCCAATCTCACCTGCAAAATTGCCATCGACAATCTAGAGAAAGCAGAGCTTCTCCAAGGAGGAGACCCCTTACGGCAAAGGTATCTGTCCTGTCTTTCTGGGCTGTGAGGACAAAGTTGACATCACGTGGCATGATGTTACCCTCTGTAGGAGCCCCTCTTGTTTTCAGTATAGCATTGTAGAGAATGCTGTTACAGCCACAATATTTTTTAAAGTATGAAAGAAGTGTATGCTTATTTGGAGTAAGTTGGTCAAATAAAAGTATGAATTACAGAATGAAAGTAAGCTGTAATCTTACTGCTCATGAACATTTTGGGATGTTGTCTCCCCCAACATTCCAAATTTTTTTTACAAAGGAAAAACTGTACCATATATAAAATTTAGTATCCTGTTAGTATAATAGCACAAGCCTTGCTCATCTTTTAAAAGACTCTTCAGACATCATTTTAACTATGCAGACATAGTGTTCCATTATACTAACCAATCCCATTTGTGTGTGTCTACATTTCTAGTTTTGCAGTATTGTAAGCAATCGCCAGGGAACATAAGGCTTTATCCACATTTTCCTTCCCTCCCTTCTTCCTCCCTTCCCCACTCCATTCTCCGTGATCCTACTATTTGTGCTTCCCCACTGCAGCTGGGATGACAGGAACATACCACTGTACCAAGCCATTGGCTGAAATGAGGTCTCTTGAATTTTTTTGTCTGGCCTGGCCTTGAACTATGATACTCCCGATCTCTGCCTTCCAAGTGGCTAGGATTACAGGCCTGAGCCACTATGCCCAGCTGAAGGATGAACATTTCTAAGACTCCAAGTGCTCTCTGGGAATTGCTTTACAGATGGCAGCACTAGTTTCTGTTTCCACTGGCATTCCACAAGTACCTGGCCTCTGCACACATCCTTGCCAGTACTGACCATTTAAAATAGGTACTAGCTGGACATGGTGTTGCACATCTGTAATCCCAGCACTCGAAGGCAGAGGCAGGAATTCCGATCATGAATTCAAGGCCAGTTTGGGCCACATAGTGAGTTCTAGGCCAGCCTGAGCTTCATATTGTGATCCTGTCTCAAAAAACCAAACCATACCAAAATACTAATGTTGATAGGTTAAAACATGGAGTCTCATTTGAAAGTGGGATTTTCTCAGAGTGAGGCTTTTGTTAACATTCCTCCTCCCTCATCCGGACTTTTAGAAAAACCACCAAAGAGAGCCTGGCTCAGACATCCAGCGCCATCACAGAGAGCCTCATGGGGATCAGCAGGGTGATGTCGCAGCAGGTCCAGCAGAGCGAGGAGGCCATGCAGTCTCTAGGTAAGGCCAGGTGTGGAGCGGGAAGCTTCACCTAGAGACAGCAACTCCAGAGCACTTAGCCAACATTTGCACTCTGGCTCTTCCACCCAGCTCCGCCACCTCTGCCCACTTAGAACTTGCTGGCTCCTGTGGCGTCTTGTGAGCTGATGTCACAGCTTGCTTCTACCCAGAGTGGGTGTGCTGCTCTTGTCTCTCCTTTCTATTACTGCAGGGCTTCCCAGTGGAAGCCTTCCCTGGGGCTCATGTGAAAGCCAGAGATCCCAGGCCTCTCCTGATAGTGTCAACGGTGCTGGACAAGAGATTTGGGCATCTGCTTTTCAGCCAGGGCTCCAAAGACCCATATGGTCAGGCATGTTTGGGAATCATGGTTGGTGGCGAGACTAGTGGGTCCTTAGCTTTCAGTTGTGCTCCCAAGTGTTACATACCGCGAACTGCTTTTCAAAGTGCCAGTCCAGCTGCAGAGGAGACTGCTCAAGACCACCAGGTTCTCTCCAGTAGCTCTCCCTGCCTTGCTCACTTGTAATGCAGAGAGAATTGGTCCCCTCTAAGGCCCTTCATCTAGGAAAACAAAGTTTGCTCCGTGAAATAACTTCTGGGAAACTTCACATGTAGATAGAAGGAAAGAACATGGTATGGTGAGGCTTTGAGTCCCTCACCTTGCCTCGGTGATTCTCAACTCACAGTGGCCCTGTTTCAGTTTCCCTCACCCTGTCTAGATTGTTTCGAAGCAAATCCTACTAGACATCATTCATAAGAACTGCAATTCGTATCTCTAAAACTGGATGGATGGGTGATGTCTCTTTGAGGAAGAAAGAAAAACAAACCCAGAACCACAATACATTTTCATTCCTTAAAAATTATCTGTAATTTTGAAACACTTTTTTTTTGGCAGTACTGTGGTTTGAACTCAGGGCCCTGTGCTTGCTAGGCTGGCACTGTATCACTCAAGCCATCTCCCCAGGCCTTACTTAGGTTTTTGAAAAGGTAGAAGCATGGAGATAGAGGACTGGAGAGGGACGTAATTGTGTGTGTTCATTCCCCTTCCCTCTTATCTGTCATTTTCAACATCTCTGTTTCCTCCGGTAATTTGTTTTATGTATTTATTACTTTTTAATTTTGTGAAAAGGTAATATGTATGACATGATTAAGGGGGAAAAAAAATCCCAGTGCTCCCAATAGAAACATAACGGGAATCACATATTTAACTTTTCTAATAGGTACATTATGAAAAGTAAGAAGAAACATGAAATTAATTTAAATGATACGTTTTGTTTAACCCATTACCATTTCAACATTGCAATTAATAGTACAAATTATTGAGATAGTTGTTCCTCGGTGTCTGTGAGGGACTCCTTCCAAAACCCCCACAAGTACCAGAATCTGAGGATACTCAAGTATCTCCTCATTCACCTTATATTTTTTAATAGTTTTTTTTTTTTTGGTGGTGGCACTGGGGTTTGAACTCAGGGCCTCACACTTGGTAGGCAGGAGCTCTGCCACCTCAGCCACTCTGCCAGTTCTTTTCTCATACACTTTTAATCACCTCTAGGTTACTCATCACAGCTACTGCAACGTAGATGCTGTATGCTTGTTGTACTGTGTTGTTTAGACAGTAAAAACAGGAGACGACACCTGTATGTCCAGTTCAGTAATGACACATTTTTTCCCCCAAAATATTTTCAACCTGAGGTTGGTTAGAGCTGTGGATGTAGAACTTGTGGATACAGAGATGCTTGTATTTTACATTTCTTTTTTTCTCACACTAAATCTTTGTGATCTTTGGTATATTTTACATTTATAGATGTCTCAATTTGGAATAGCCATATTTTATGTGTAAGGAAATATGTGTGTTGTGGCTGCCATGTAGCCAGCACAAAAAGTGCCATATTGAATAGTATAAAAAGAAAATTAGAAAGCCAGCACTCCCTTCTGAGCTCCAGTCCTCCAGGTCCACTCCTCAAAGGCCACCAGTGCTACCAGTTTCTTTTCTGTTTTTTGGCAATACTGGGGATTGAACGCAGGGCCTTTTGCTGCTTGCAGGCACTCTAACACTTCAGCCACACCTCCAGCCCTTTTTGCATTGGTTATTTTTGAGATAGGGTCTTGCCTGGGCTGACTGGGACCGTGATCTTGGGACCATAATATTCTTATTTGTGTTCCCTTCTGTAGCTGAGATGATAGGCACACACCACCATGCCCAGCCGTTGGCCGAAACGGAGTCTCACAAACTTTTTGCCTGGGCTAGCATTGAATGCAGTCCTCCCAGTCTCTTCCTTCTGAGTAGCTAGGATTATAGGCGTAAGCCACCAGTTTCTTTATTATCTTCCAAGTTTATATAATACAAACAAATGAAATTTTATTTATCTCCTTTTCTTACATAAATGAAAACATTGTACAGTTTTACACCTTGCTGTTTCACTTTCTTCTTTAAAATTTTTTGTTATTTTTTATTATTGCTGTACTGGGGGTACATTGTGACATTTACCAAAGTTCTTAATAATATATCATAGTTGAAGTCACCCCTCTTCACTTTTTATATTCATTTGGTGTTTTTTGTTTTTTTGTGATACTGGGGTTTGAATTCAGGGCCTCATGCCTGATAGGCAGGCACTCTACCACTTGAGCCATTCCACCAGCCCAGGTGTCTGTTCTGAGGACATCTTACAGTGCTTCATAGAAAAACTTCCCAGATAAGTTTTCTTACCCAGGTGTCAGGCCCGGACACCTATACTCAGAGTATGTTTGACATGGCTCAGAGTTCTTAATGGTCATAGGCCTATTAGGTGTCACACAGTGGCTGGGACATATGTGTCACATCTTTTAGACTGTAACCAGTGGCCCAGGCCTGAAGGACTGGAACATGGGAGGGCTTATGTCAGGGTCCAGCCCATCCTTGCCCTTTGGTGGTCCTGCAGTTGTCCTGGCAGGTCCCATTTCACAGGTGGAATTCAGCTCCTGCCCCAACACAGCTCTCACAATGCTCATCCACTATCACCCAGGCTTCTGGCTGGTGGGTCTTTTCAGTAGTGTCTGACTCCTTCAGAGAGCTGAGGGTGGTGTTTAGGCAAACAGCCACTTCTGCACTTCTCCCTGCCCTTGTCTGTATTCAAGGTCTCCTAAACAAATGATATCACGCTGGATGGGGCCTCTGGAAGAGCCCTTTCTTGTTAGATCCTTACTTTCTATGCTCATCTAGGTGGTCTCCATTGACCTGCGTTGGTTTATTGGCAACCAGCCAGCAGAACAAGATTTCAGCATTTGTTCTGTATAGCGTCTGAATCACGCTCCCTCCCTCTTCTGTTTCAGTCAACTCTTCACGAACTATCCTTGATGCAAATGAAGAATTTAAGTCCATGTCGGGGACCATCCAGCTGGGCCGGAAGCTCATCACAAAGTATAACCGCCGAGAGCTGACAGACAAGCTCCTCATCTTTCTCGCCCTGGCTCTTTTTCTTGCCACAGTCCTCTATATTGTGAAAAAGCGCCTCTTTCCATTTTTGTAAGATCTGAGAGCTGCCACCTTCAGCTCTTTACTCTCCTGTTTCGTTATCCATCCAGGCTTTCAAGGTCCTGCCTCAGCTGCCAAACACAGCCACATCCCCTCCATTCTGCTTCTGTTGCTCAGCAGGTCAGATGGACGGAAACAGCTCCGAGTTTTCACCAAGTAGCTGGCTTGGAAAGGGCAAAGTGATGGAGACAGAGACGCCTATGGGACATAGTGACCCTGAGCTCACCCAACTGTTGAGCACTGTGGGTAACTGCCTACCGGAGCACTTCAAGTCCAGCCTCCAGGGTCTGATGCTCCTCCCCTCTCCTGAGCCTTAAATGCTAGGTCTGGTGAAGGGAAGAGAAAAGAGGTTGGAGGAAGGTCAGAAACTCATGGTCCTTCCTGGAGTAAACGTGATTGTCTTTGACAGAATGAATTGAGCTTGTTTCGTTTCACAAGCTATCGCTCTGGGAATTTGCACGCCTCTTTTCCTAACACCCTGGTTTCTAGGGTGTAAGCTTCCATCATTCATGAGTGGGCAGCTGCCACACATGGTGGTCCTTGGCTGTGCCAACACTGCACATGCGTTGGTGGGCCTTGCCCGGCTCACCACTCCCGCACTAGGATGTTAGGCGGGGGCTGCCATTGGAGGTGGCTCACGCCAACATCTGATAGTGCTGGGGCAGAGGTCTTTGTCCTCCCCACAGCCACCCCTTAGGGCTTGGGGGTATTCAGTGAGGACTGGCTGTAACTTTCTCTTTGGGGTCCAGACTAAGTGTAACCAATGAGAGAAGCCAGTAAAAAACTGAGGCTCATCTGAGCCCAAGTTCTGTTGAAGCCAGGGCAACAGGGCTCAGGCTAGGTCTGCCTGGAGGTGCTAGTGTCTCTGTGCTCTAGGCCTGCTTGGTCTCGCAGTTGAAATCCTAGCCTCCTGCACTATTTATAGCCCAGGGGACCTGGAGGGGTCATGGAGGCAGAAGGGTAAGTGGAAAAACATGGACTTTAAGCTTTGGCTCAAACACTTGGTTTTGAATTTTGACTGTACAGCCACAAACAAGGTACATTACATCCTAAGCCTCAGTGTCCCCAGCTGAAAAGTGGAAGTGACTATCCATATAGAATAAATTTGAGACTCACAGACAGTATAAAGTAGCAGTGCAGCCTTCTTATGACTTTGCCTTCAGTGGACCTCCCAAATACTGCTATCCCCTAGGACTCTGTCCTACAGCAACAGCAAAGGGCCTTTCAGAAAAGCTGGCCAGGCAGAGGCAATTGTTAAGATCTGTTTGAGCAGAAGGTGTCAAGAGTTAAGGCCTCTGGCTTTTTCCTCAGCAGCTGTCAAGCTGCTAGGTTTTTCTAAGGAGGCCAGGGGACTAGCAGGAAGGAAGCATATACCGCAGATAGGCTGGACACATTCTGGACAGGACGGAGCAGAACAGCCTGGGATTTCATCAATGTGGCATACAATTTAAAACTTGTGAACTGTTCAGTTTTGGAATTTTCTCCTTAATGTTTTCAGATTGTGGTTTGCTATGGATAACTGAAACCTTGGAAAGCAAAGCCACAGATGGGGGCAGGCAGGACTACTGTACACACACATCATCATCATCATCCTTAAACGATTCCTGGCCCCAAAGACACTGCAGAGTACACACACATCTTATTTATAGTCAAATTAAAACTGAGGATAAATCCAGATGGGAAAGTCCCACTCAGATTCCAGCTGCAAGTGCTGCAGATGGATGTTATCAAGTTGGGATTTTCTCGTCTTAACGTTTCTCTTTACTACTTCCTGCTAATTGTCAACATCCTCACAGCGTGGAAATTGTGGGCTCTGCACTCCCTAAAAAGTCTCCCTGTGACACTTTATTCCTCTTTTACTTGCCTCTCAGAATTGGCCCATTGTGAAATGTCATCAATAACTCATCTTGCAACCCATCAGCCAGCAGTCTGCCTTCCCCCAGGCTGGCTGGGCAGTAAGCCGCCTTCCACATTCAGCCAGGAGGGGGCAGTGTGCACATTCACTCCGCAGGAGATGAGATTATCTCCGCTGACCATTTGAAATGCCTTTAGGGACATTTTTAAAAAAAACTTAACAGATTTTTTAAAAAACTAAATATGTGAAGCTTGCTTATATTTTGGTCTTGGAATAGGTCCCTAAGTGGCCTTAATTCTCAGTGTCAAACAGTAAGTGAGGAAAGTCTGTGTCTTACATTTGCAATAGCTGACAGTCACAGAATTAAAATGGCCTTCAAGGGAGCAGTCATTCAAGAACTAGCTACTAAGCACCTACTATGTGCCAGGCATTTGTGTTAGGGATAAACAGTGAACAAAGCAAAGATTCCCTGTGTCATGGTATGTGGAGGGATAGTGAGCGCATAAACAGTTCACATAGTAAGTAAGTCGTTTGTGCTAGAAAACACAGCTGGCCTTTTGTACTGTGGGCAGATTTAACCAGCCTTGCATTGAAAATGCTTATTAAAAATGTATATATGGACTTTACTTCTGGTTGTTATCCCCTAAATACTCCAATATAACAATTCTCTCTCTCTCTTTTTGTGTGGCAGTATTGGGGTTTTGCCTCAGGCTTTGTGCTTGCTGGGCAGGTGCTGTACCATGGAAGCCATGCCCCCAAGCCCACCAACCATCTTCCTAGCGCTTACATTGCTTTAGGAATTTCAAGTCATGTGGTGCCTCCTTAGATTTCAGGCATACAGGAGGGTGTGCACAGTTCTAATGCAAATACATTTCACCAAGGAGCTTAAGCATCCATGTGTTTTGGTAATCATAGGGGGTCCTGGACTAAGCCCTTAGAGTCACAGAGGAGACTAAGCACCAGGTTAAAGGACTGTCAGTGGGGGCAAGTCTGGCTTTGTTGGTGTGAGATTGTGAGCAAAGTCGAGGCAGAGAACATGAGCCATGTGGACAGCTGAGGGGAGAGGGTCACACCGAAATGGGCCCCAGAGCACCACTGGCACCCATGAGGAACAGCAAGGAATCCAGTGTAGTGACAGCAGAGCGGATGGGCTGTCACCCCAGGCTGCCAGTCTCCAGGACACTCACCACACCCTAACTCATCTCCCAGCAGTGTTAACCCTGTGGACCTTGGTTCTTCCAGAAGCTTCTGCAGCCCTTTGACACCACACTGTCTTGGTTTTCCTCTTCTCTGGCAACTCTCTTTTGTTCCTTTTCTGTTCAGCCTTAAGTGCCAGCTTACTTCTCATTCCCTGTGCCCTCTTGTGTGTACTCAAACGACAAGGTCATCCATGTTCTAACAGCTTTAATCATCATCCCTAGGAAAAGCATGGATAATTCCAAAGTGATGGCAGCCATGCAGACTTCTCAAGTGAGCTCTGGACCCCTAGATCATCTCCATTTCCATGTCCCTGAGGCTTCTTGACCTCCGTGTGTTGCTGATGGCTCCCTCCCCACAACCTGGCCCTCCTTCCCTGTTGTCCCTAACACTCTGCGCCTTTCTGGGTCCTGTTGGGGCTGGGGATCCACCATCCCAAAATGTGTGGGAGACCAGAATATTGCCCATCAAAATACAGTTCTCTGGTGCATTTTGAGCTGGTTCTGCTGAGGCCGCAGATACAGGAGTGGCTCTGAGGTGCCATCTTTACAGCTATTAGGGAAATCTAAGCTAGTCACTATCTGTATGGGGAAAGGGGCACTCCAGACAGCTCACTACCTGAGAGACTTCATCTGCATATGACAACCTGTAGTCACCACACCTTTCCTCCTTCACCTCCCATAACCTGTGTCCACCGCCCTCAGGGGCCCCGAGGCCCCTACTCCTTGTAGCTCAGATGTACTTCAGCCCCCACCTCTGCTAGTCCTGTAGTTTGTTGGACTCTGTGTGCAAGTACATAATCAAATCTGGTTTCTCTCCTATTAATCTGTTTTATGTCAATTTAACTTGTAGCCCAGCCAAAGAAAGTGGGAGGTGGAAGAAAACCGTATTTTGTTCCAGTGCCATCGCTTTTTCCTTCATGAAGCCATGTCCTTGAAACCTTGCTCCCACCACCCCAGGAGGCATGACTGCCCTTTATTACAGCAGACACATGCCAACGCTGTTCAGAAAAGGTCTTGCATCGGGCCGGTGAGTGCAGGTGACCAAAAATGCCCTGTGGAGGCAATTCTGCAGGGTGACTCAATTTGAGATGCTTCTAATTAAAAAAAAAAAGTTTAAAAAAATTTTTTTTAAAGGCAATAAAAAGTTCTCTTTTCTTCCTGGGCTAATGGTGGTCTTTCCTGGGCCCCTGCTGAGGGTTTGTCCAAGCTGTTTCTTCCTCAGCAAGGGCAGAATAAAAATAGCTGTGGCTAATCTAAGAGATATGGACAGGGCTGTCAGGAACGTAGGGCTGCAGGGGAGGGGTGTGTACTATCACCCCAGTGTGCCACAATCCCCAACAGCAAGCAGGCCCAGGCTGCACAGCAGAAACCCCAGGGCCCATGGCATTAAGCATGGTATTTACTGGTTGTGTTGCTTCTGTAATGGGCCACAGGACCGTGTCAAAGAGAGATGAGGGTTCTAGGTGTGCTCTTCCTGGCCCCGTGCTCCTCTCTGTTGTGATTTCCTCCTGTGCAGCATGGGGACCACTGCATAGAACCAACCTCTCAAAGGTGCTGGGAGGATCTCAGGATGAACCCGCCATGAGCTCACACCATGCTTCTCACACATTCATGGCTGGTGGTGGACACAGCTGTTCCCAAACGAGAACCAAATGCCTCATTCCACGTTCTCTTTTGCATTTGATTTTGGACAATGAGTGCATAGGCAAGGAAGAAGATGCAAGGAAGAAGATGCCAGGGTTGGCCAGAGTAGGACCCAAGGGTGGTATAGTGTCTTAAGTCATTCATCTGGGCAGATAGAGGAAAGCTGTTGAATAATGGGGGGTGGGAGGGAAGGGGTAAGGGAGAGTAATGGGGATTGAACTGACAGAGTTAAGTACCCTTATAGCTGGGCTCCATCGAGAACCCCCTTTGAACATTGACTAATGAAAGACAGGACTGTGAAATAGGCACAGTGTGTATGGTAGGGAGTACTTGTGAGAGGGGAGGATGAATGGAGGAGATGAAGGTGAGGGAATATGGTGGATAGACTTCATGTACCTATCCGAAATGGATCGATGAAACCTCTTGCAATGGCTTTAAGTGGGGCAGGGAGGGAGTTGCGGGGGAGATGGTGGGGGTGGTCTAACCAGTGTACTATTGGGAATTATCACAATGAATCCCCCTGTATGATGAATTTATGCTAATAATTTTTTTTTCAGTACTGGGGTATGAACTCAGGGTCTACACCTTGAGCCGCTTCACCCGCCCTTTTTTGTAACGGTCTTTTTCAAGATAGGGTCTTGTGAACTATGCGCCTGGGCTGGCTTTGAACCGGGATCCTCCTGATTTCTGCCTCCTGAGTAGTTAAGATTACAGGCGTGAGCCACCAGTGCCCGGCTTAAAATTTTTTTTTAAAACAGCTAGATAACCTGAGGGGATAAGTCATTGGTAGAATTAGCTTTGTGGGAGCTGTCTTTTTTATTATT